AGATCAGACACAGGCCCAGGATTCAGCAGGCCAAGGGTTCACGCTCCCTGTCTAGACTCAGGCCCACGCTGGGTTCACCTCATCCACGATTTTCTTGCCGTGGGGGCTTTTCAGAGCGGCTTTTAGCAGGGAGGAAGCCTGCTAAGCAGCTGAACCAAGCTCTCCTTTAGACCATTTGCCTGGCGAACACCCCACCTGCACGCGTTCCCCTGCAGCGTACAGCCGTGGACCCCTTCGGTGTCTCAGCAGCCATGGCACGCAACAAGAGGCTCCGAGCCCACGGGAGTGCGCCTTCCCATGGGAGATCTCGGCGAGGAGCTGACCCAACCCACGAGCCGCTGGCACCACCGAGCCCGGTTGCTGGCAGTCCTGGTGCCCAGCACCCATTAGTTGCACCATCTGAGCTCTTCCCTGGTGCCCAAAGAGTGTCCTCCTCCTCCTCCTCCGCGTGGAGAGATGAAAAGGCGGCACAGGGATGTAGGAACGGAGTGACAAAGGCAGCCTGCGCTCATGCCATCCTCCTTGCTTTGGGAACCCCAAAGGAGCAGATCCCAAGCCTGTAAAGTCACGACACTGGATCCACGTGCATGGCCAAACCTTGAACCTGGTGCCTCTGTCCGTAAGCTCAGGCCTGGCATAGATCATAGCTGATGCTGCGGCCTGAGTAAACGGCACTGTCCGGTGGGTTTAGTTGAAGAATGAGATGCCTTCTCTCTACCCATTACCTTCCTCGGCCCGTCCCATTCCTCAACATCATGCTGACTGGCCCCTGCGTGCAGACACAGAAAAACCTCTGTGCTAGGGCAAGCTCAGTAAGATGCTGTACGTGGCCAGGGCCGCAACGGGCTTAGAAACGAGGGAGCGTTGCTATTAAACGGCCTTGGGTTACCAATTTGAGCCTTATCTCAGGGTGCAAGTCAGCTGAAGGACCTGCCCAAAGAAGGAGGCTGCACCTGCAGAGGACAGGGGAACTCGTACCGGCCACCTCCCTTCCCCAGCGCTCCTCTGCGGGGGGATGCGCAGCAGCTTTGCGCGGCTCCCTGGGTGCAAATGCTCTTCGTAGGACAAGCGCATGTTGCCATTACTGGGCTAAATGAACAGGCCCCTGACACTGGCTGACAGTCCCTAATGCATTTTTGATTTCCCAAATATGTGCCCTTCTGATCTCAGTAAGAAGGATAAAGAGACTTTAATCAGCTGCTAGAAAGAATTATGGAAGGCTAATTGTGCCTGCCACCTCAATTAAATCTTTGCAGCCTATGGTGTTTGTAACCATTTAAAGGGTCCTTTTAGGCCTTCACTGGCTGCACACCAAAGACTTCAGAAATAATTGGCTTCTACGATTTAGAAATTGGCCACTGGGCTGTAAAATACCAGCCACTGGGAAAGTCTCTTAACTCAGACTGGTGCTTTGATACAGATTTGACTTTGGTTTCAAAGTTACAGAGGGGCTTGTAATCTCTCATTAGCGATGCTATGAAAGGATAGAGCTTCCTCATTAGCACCGACCGGAGCAAAGGCACGAAGGCCGAAGGCTTTCAAGACTCCCTTTGACAAGAGTGCCACAAATCAAAGCGACGCGTCAAACTGCCAGTCCCCACCCGGAGGGCAGAGCAGCAGCCCTTCAGACCAAGGAGAGCCTCTGTCTTCCGAAGCAGCTTCTATCGCCAAAACAAAGGACTGCGGCTCGCAGGGCCCACGGCACGCCTGCCAGGGTGGCTGGGCTTGCCTTTGCTTGCCCTGCACAACCTGCCTCCTTGCCAGGATGAAGTTTGGTACGCTGGATGTCACAGCCGTGAGGAATTATTGTACACATCTCTCACATCACTCAAGCTGTTTAACTTGGGCTCTACTCCAGACTGAGTTCTCTCACAAGTACCTGACTATCTTTCTTCTTCTCAGTCAATCTAGCTGGAAAAACAGGGTAAAAGCCAGGCGTTGGTCCATGCAGGAGGCGAAGCAAATGCTGCCTCCCAGTTGTGATCTTCAGGCTATAGAAGCATTAAACAAGATTTTGTTGCCTCACAGATAGGCTGCAAAGAGCAACAGCAGACACACTGCAGTGGCCCTCGCTAGCCTCACATGCAAGCCATAACCCTCCAGAGCGATTTCCTACGTAATCATCCTATTTTGACTCAATGACTGCTGACAGCGAATAATCCATCGCAATCCTGCAGGAGCTCTTCCAACGACAAATGACTCTCCATGTTAAAAACCTGTCTTTCGATTCAAGCCTTACCTCCTGGAGGATTCACATTCAGGAACAAGATCTACATCAGAAGCGTCCTTTCAGCATTGTACTTAGGCTGCCTGACTGGGGACTGAAAAATGACCTAGGCGCCTTGTGGTCTTCAGTAGCCTACACATGAGCTCCTGAAATAGCAGATAGAAGAAAACAGACATCCAGCAGGAACATACTGGGACCAAACATAAAGAGCTCCAATGCTTTCCTATTCCCATGTGAGATGAGTGTACATACAGCAAACTAATGCTTTCATCTTCTTAGAGAGAGCATCACAGCAATTGCCACTGTGCAGATTACCTGCCAAGACCCTCTGCCTCCGGATGTCATTTGCCCATAACTCCGGGACAGCAAACAGCAAAAAGAGTTAACTTAAAGGAAGGAAAAATTACCTACAAACCTCACATGAAAGTTTCAACTTTCACACCCTTTACTGAAGCTACCAGTTTCACTAAGAGCTTCTGTCTGTAATGCAAAACTCCACAGTCCAGGGGGATATCTTCAAAAGAGGATGGGTAAAAGTACCTGCTCATAAACCTTTTTAGAAGTCAGCTGTGCTTTCTAGAACTCACAGTCCTACCAAAATGAGCAAGGAGAGACCAAGGCCTTCAGGGCATTCAACTGACACTCACTTTGCCTCACTCTGTTGAAGGAAGGCTTAGAAGAAGCAGCAGTGACACAGGCTCATTAGCAGGTGATGATGGGCCGCGCTGACTTTTCTCATCTGCAGCCATACCAATGCTTACAGCGCTTATTTTGCTGATAATCTGAGCAGAAACGGACCAT